AAAAGAAGGCAGATTCACACTAGATACAAGAAAGTTGTTCTTTACCATGAGGCTGGTGGCACAATGGAATGAGTTGTCCACAGTGCTGCTGGATGCCCCATCCATGAAAACTTTCAGGGCCAGGTTGGATGGGGCTCTGAGCAACCTGCTCTAGGTGAAGATGTCCCTGCTCACTGCTGAGTGCTTGGTCAAGATGACCTTTAAAGATCCCTCTCAACCCAAACCATCCTATGGTTCTATATTTTGATCTTCACCAGAAAGCAGACATGATACCAGTTTGATAGTTTAGTCTTTAAAGAGTCCGTGTTTCTTTGGGGCTTGGCATATATTAGAAAGTCTGTATTGCCACAAAACAGAGGAACCTGATACCAAGTGTTTTATGAACAGAAAGGAGAGATGTTTACAATCTGAATAAGAGTCAAGGCTGAGAAATGGGAAAAACCAATCAGTGCTACTCAGATGTGACCAGCTTTAGCATCAATACAATGACACAATAAGCATTGTCTTGCTTTTGTTGTTTTGTTAGCAAAAAATTTATTTGAAGGAGGACAAATACTAGTTTTCCAACTTGGCTGGGGGTGAGATCTTTCTGTGAGCAGCTTCAGCTGGTCCAGAGTTGTCCTGTTGCAGCACTGGGTGTTCCCACCTGCTCGTTCTGGCTGGCACTGATGTGCCTGTGGCGGGGGAGTCAGCTGGGTCAGCTTGCTGCTGTGTGAGCAGGCAGGTTCTCCTGTAGGGTTAATTTCACCAGAGGTGGAGATATGATCCAGCTGACCCTGCAGCTACCTGAGCACTAGTTGCTGTCAAAAGGGTGATCAGACTGTTTGGGTGGGTGAGGAGGAGGCACTTGAATTTTCAAAGATTGGCTTAAGCTAATTGTGAAACTTGACCATGATTGATTCTCTCTTAGTGACTATTTTTAGCAGGACAGTGTGCTTATCTTGGGTTTCTTTCAAATGTGTGAATGACATTAGTATGAATGACAAGAATGTGCCTGTGACTTCTGTGAGCAGTGTGTGAAGAGCACTTGGATGAAGAATGAGCAAGGCTCTTCCATGAATGTTCTCTGTGCCTTGTAACTCTCCATTCATCCTTCTCGTGTTCGAAAAGGGAAAGTGCTGGACTCTGCACCTGGGGTGGGGCAACCCTGGATGTTCACACAGACTGGGGAAGGAGATGCTGGAAAGCAGTGCTGGGAAAGGGACCTGGGGGTCCTGGTCGATGACCACTCGGCCATGAGTCAGCAGAGCCCTGGCAGCCAGGAGGGCCAACCGTGTCCAGGGGGGCATCAGGCAAAGCATCGCCAGCCAGTCGAGGGAGGGGATTGTCCCGCTCTGCTCTGCCCTGGGGCAGCCTCATCTGGAATATTGTGGCAGTTTTGGGCACTGCAATATGAGAAAGATATTAAGCTCTTACAGAGTGTCCAAAGGAGGGTAATGAAGATGGTGAAGGGCCTTGAGGGGATGCCGTATGAGGAGCGGCTGAGGGCCCTTGTTCAGCCTGGAGAAGAGGAGACTGATGGGAGACTTCATTGCAGTTTCAACTTCCTTGTGAGGAGAAGAGAAGGGGCAAGCACTGATCTCTGTATCACTGGTAACCAGCTATAGAACCTGTTGAATGGCCTGAGATTGTGTCAGGGGAGGTTTAGGTTGGACATTAGAAAAATATTCTTCACCCGGAGGATGGTTGGGCACTGGATCAGGCTCTCTAGGGCAGTGGTCACAGCACTAAGGCTGACAGAGCTCAAGAAGCTCTCAGGCACATGAATGGGATTCTTGAGATGCCCTGTTCAGGGCCAGTAATTGGACTCGATGATGCTCATGGGTCCTTTCCAACTCTGCATGTCCTGTGATTCTGTGTAATAATAAAAACAGGGTGGCACCCCTCATTTTTGTTCCAATTAATTTGTAGAATCAACTAAAAGATAAGATAGGGCTACCTGTTTGTCCGCTGTTCTTTGTGCAGGGGCAGCAGCAGAAGACACGAGAGAATCTATGTGCTGCCTTGAAATGGCATTTCATAGCCCTCTTTTTTTAATCTTGCTGTTTGAAGTCAGTGCTTTCAGTTGAAGATACACAGGAAGGGAATTTATTTTTAATGAATTGTTAGCTTTCTGGGTGGTGTTTCCCCCCCCTAAATTATTGTCCCCAAAAGACAGGTCAAAAAATAAAAGTATGGAAAAACCATCAAACTATTCTGCTATCAGTATTGCATATAAGAGACGGATGGATTTTGCAGTTCAGGCTCTGGTCCTCGGATACTCTGTTCCCTGCCACTGTCTTTACTTTTGGCAAGCTGATTCATGAAGTTCCTTAGTCAATGAAGTGGGGCAGTTTCTTGATTAACTTGTTAATAAGCAGGTTGAGAAGAGGAAAGCCACGTAGTAATTGTAGGGGAGCCATTTGCCAAAGTGACTTCTCGCCACTTCTGCAAGCTGAAAGAAAAGTAAGCATGGAGCTATTAATCTCAAGGGATGTGCAAAGTAGGGCCAGATCATGAAGATGCATGGCTCTGACAACTGCAGTACCTGGCCATGCCTGTCTACCCTGATCCTCGAGTGATAGCACTGTTGCAAGCTGTGCGTCTAAACTGCTTTAAAAAACACAAAGAGGGAAGATGGATTTCTCTCTGCCGTGTCATCCAGCCTGTTTCCTTGTTAGAACAAGGTTGTCCAGCAGAGAACACCATAGTGAATCTGATGTTTCTCATAGATGAGGTGTGGTCCTTGGACTTCTGGCAGATGGCCAAAGCAATCCAGATTTGGGAAATCCTGGATGTTATTTGGCACACTAATGGCTGACATGCATATGTTTTACTAGGAGGAAGAACTGAATTTTGTGCAAAGCTTGAAATCAATAGACAAATATGCACAGTTCAGTGTTTGGAGGTTGATGGGGGTTTATTACATCCTTTGGGGGCTGGTTTTTAGTTTCTGTATAATGAGTAGCAGTGAAAAAAGTTCTTATACCTGCTTGAGATAACACAGAAAATTACTGCCGGTTATCAGGACTTTGTCAAGCCATCGTGTCCAGGCTACTTTGGAGTTGTTTGCAGATGTACTTATTTCAAGACTAGCAAATATTTTGTATTTTATTTACTCTAGAGTCTTTAAAACTCTTGAAACAGTATTCAAATTTTCTGCACTCTTAACTGGGTGCCTCTCTTGTTTCTTAGCATTTCTGCCTTTATGGCTTTAGAAGTGTCTAACAACTGTTTGGCTTCTCTTGGCTTCTTGTGCTGGATTTACAGGGAAGATTTCTAGGCAGGCAGTGGTGCAGCTTTCAAGTGTGAGCTTCTGGCTTCCTGTCCTGCCCCAGGTGATGCAACAGTCTCCGCAGTACAGACAGTGCTTGCTTGTTTTACTCTAGGGAGGTGGTGGTTGTTTTTAAACTACCCAGAGTTCCTTACCAAGTCCCTTATCAAGCTGGGGAGCAGTTACTGCTCAGACCTTTTATCAGCTGTCTCAGGCTGTGAACTGCATTGTGAGGCTTGAGAAAAGTGAGGAGTGCCTCCTTCCAACTCAGCTGCATCTCACCTGCTGTCATACCCCACTTCTGCATGCAAAGTAAAGAAGTAACCATGAAAATGCAGTCCCTGTAGGATCAGTCTGTGCAAGGCTGCTGCTGACAGCAGAAGATCACTGTGAGTTGAAGGTGATGCACAGTTCTAGACACAACACACAAATAGCAATTAACAGATTTTAATCTTTGTCTGTGGAATGTGTTTAACATACCATACTTTATTAGGCTTTTATTTGACATTAATATTCTGCTAGTTCAGTACATTAAGTAATAAATATGATTCTAATTTTTTTTTCTTATGCTTCTATTAAAGAATAGATCTACAGTCTGTAAGAGTTCACCAAAGGCAGCTTGTTATGTATTGCTGACCTCTGAGAACCCCTGGATTTCTATTCTGTCCTTTTAGAAATGCCTGACAATTGCAGAATGATTTCCTGGAGATGTTTATCTTTTAAACTGTATTGAGATTTTTTTTTGTTGTTGTTGTTGTCTTCGGTTCACTTCCAGAGGCTTTGAGACAAGATTCTTTGGTTATAGAAGGAACAGGCTTAAGGTGATGTGAAATTTAATTATAATCCTGGGCTGTGATTCTACATCACTTCCCTTAGTGCCAAGTCAGCTTCAGATCCACCATTTCCTTGCTTCACTTGTGTTCCCTCACAGTCTTTGTGTCCTCTGTTTGACTGTTGGTGCAGCTGCCCTCTGAACACCATCTGTGAAATGACCCAGCCCAAGAGCCTCCCAAACGAAAGTGCCCTTTGGCAGGCAATGTAAACCTTTGTTCTGGCTTAAACTGCAACCCTGTGGTTGTATATATTTGAACTGACATAGCTCTGGCTATAATGTCTGTTTGAAGACTTGTAAGGCTTTATAAAAGAGTTTTCTGACAAGGGGCCAGTGACATACTGCTCCAATTTCTAGACTTTTTACAGGATGAGTTATGTAGCTAGATACATTTTTTTCAGGTGTTTGTGCTGGCAGTACTGTATTTAGTTACTATTTCCCATGTATCATCAGAAAATAAACTCCAGTTGCATAGATTTATAAAGTGTCAGTCTGCCAAAGCTAATATTTCGCAGTAAATCTCTTCTCTGGGAGGCAGGAGACTTGTGCTGAGCTCTGTGGGACTTACTGGCTCTTTTGAGGTGGGTCTCTTTCTCACTGTGGCACAGAGAACCTGAAAAAAATACTCTTTTCTCATACTCAACAGGGAAAAAATTTATATTCAAGGGTTTTGTTAAATAGGAAGCCTCTCATGACAGATTTCTCTCATTGCTGTGAAAACCAAATGGGTTGATTGAAATAAAACCCACTGTCATTGTTAGTTTACTAGGTTTGAGAAGGAATTTGTGCCATAATGGAAGTATTTATATATTTCAACTAGAAAAGAATGTCAGTTCAAAATAAGGAGGATACTTGACCATCTTGTTTTTCTTGTCTGTTCCATGACGACTTACTTGTCTGGTTTTTTTTCCCCAGTTATTTGTAGTAGATGTCCAGACTGGTCAAATTACCAAGATTCCTATTCTGAAGGATCGTGAACCGGGCATGGTGAACCAGCAGGGATGTGGCATTCATGCCATCGAGCTCAACCCCTCGAGGACCCTCCTGGCCACAGGTGGAGACAACCCCAACAGTCTTGCAATTTATCGCCTGCCTACACTCGATCCTGTCTGTGTGGGAGATGTAAGTGGGAGAACCTGGGGAAGGTTTATTCTGTCACTTACAAGAACTACTACTTTGAAGTGTGTAAGGTCAGAGCAAGGTTAAGATTTGGGAGTCTTGTAATGGAGAGTGAATTGCTGAAAGCCTGAAAACATTCCCAGTTGAGTTGGCATTTTTGACGTGGTATCCGAGTGAGTACATAAACATGTGAATGGATTCTCAGGATTCTGAGTCAGACTTCTTCCTCACCCTCACTCAGATCTATTTCAGATCACCTTTGAGCACTGAAAATGTAACAAAATCCTGAATGTTAAAGTCCAATTGTGGTGATGACCTCTCAAGCTACTAACAGTGAAAAAGCTCTTTTGGGAAATTTAAAAGGTGATGCAAGTTGTTCCGATTTTCCGCTTATCCAGTGCAGTTTACAGATGTATTATTCCAGAGGTGAAACTTGGTTTTGAAGGTTAGTTCTGACCCAGTGGCTGCTGGCAGTTAGATAGACTCTCATACTGGTTTTATTTCTGAAATGTCCTGAGGCCTTTTTAAAACAGCCAGTCTTTTAAAAAAAGCTGAAGTGAGTATAGTGGTGTCCCATGAGTGCTTCTCTCTCATTTCTCCTTTTTATTCAGGACTTCATGTGGGTGTTAGCTACAACAGCAGAGGTCGGGTCAGAGTTCTGCAGCAGCAGATAACCAGATACAGCAAGACCTGACTCTGAAGATTTGCATGACTTGCTCTTCACTTACATGACCTTTTATCTTTTCAAACAGAACTAGAGCCTTATGGTCTTTCTTTCCCCCACACAGGTTTTTCATTTCCTAAAGAAGAGATTCTTGAAATAATAGGCTTGAAATATTAATCTGTAGGTCATGTATCATAAACACAAGATTTTGGTTACTTTTTATATTAGGATGTGCACTTGCAGAAGTACAGAATGCTGCTTTCAAAATGGAAAATCGGAGTCCTTAGAACTGGAGTCAATTTGTCCTTGGTCAGAGGCCTGTTTTTCCAACACCTAATTGCTCTCCATTAGTTACACAGTTCAAAACCCAAAAAGTCAAAGTTACTAGTGGGTACTTAAACTGCTCCAGCTTGATACTGGAACCTTTTTTTAGTGTAGGTCTGTCCTTCTGAGTTTGTACTAAAAATCCAAGTGGAGAGCGTTTGTCTGCTTCGAGACTACTCTGGAGTATTATGGCACAGAAAAATCTGTCTTTTCTTCTTTTAGGATGGACATAAGGACTGGATATTTTCAATTGCATGGATCAGTGATACTATGGCTGTTTCTGGTAAAGTCAAACTTTTTCTTCTGTTTTTCTGGTTGGTTGGTGGGGGTTTTGCCTTTCCTTTTTTGTTTTAAACTTTCCTCCTCTCCAGAATTTTATGCTGAATTACAACATTTTATGAGTCTTCAGAAAGCACCTCTATCACAGCAGTTGAAACCACTTAAAACTACTGAGGCTATTTAAACACTTGATCTAGATCTTTGATTTTTTTAGTATCAGAGAGAATATTCCTGTGTTTCTAGTAGGTGTTGCCATGAGGAGATCTTTAAACACAATGAGTTACAGTAAAGGGTTCCACATAAGAGGAATAATTTCAAGAGGAGTTTTAATTATCATTTGATAACTTTGGAATACTGCAGAGCAATATCAGTTTCCTGAAGTCGTGTGAAAGACTAATTAAACTCTCTTTTGTCAAGCTATCAGTACAGTTGTGTGTGTGTATATATGTGTATGTACATGTGCACTTACACTAAGGCAATTATTACAGAAGGCTCTAATAGAAAAACTCAGTTACTGACTGTTTAGTAACTAATTGGATAATCAGTGTAACTTCATAAAGTTAGATAAAGGCAGCAGTAATAATAGGCTGTTGCATTAATTTAGTAGTTCACTGCCTTTCTGTGCTGACAGGGTGTAGTAGTGTTCTGCACACAGAGTTGTTGAACTGCAGGTGACAGAAGATCATAGTAGTCTTATATAAAAGTCAAGTCCTTGAATTGTTAGTGTAGTTCAGTGGAAGTTTTGTTTTCCAAAATCAAAAAGTTAATCCTGGAATTTGATTTTTGAATTTAACATGAAAGTTGATCCTTGCAAGTCTCTACCCCAAATATCTACATAAAAACCCCCACACTATCAGCTAGTAAGCTTGAGGATGATTACTGATATCCAGGGGAAGGATAAGGATCCAGTGGAATGCACAGCTCCCAATGTTTTGCAAAGGTCAGGGGCGGATGTGTGAGTAGAAGGCTGCTGTGTTCTCTGCTCTGTGGTCCTTACAGCAGGCAAGATGTAGCTTCCAGTCTCCAGACCTGAGACACCAGGGAAAACTTGTTGAAAGCAATTAAGCAAGACTGGTTGCTAAACTGATCTCTTCAGAGCTCACAGACAATCCTAATTAAGAGATAAAAAAGACAGTGAACTTCTGACATGGTTTTAATCTTATAGATTTCAACTCCATCTGTATCTGAAAGTGCAGAGTAGAAATACTTGAACTTCAGACATCGAGGATACGGCAAATACTTTTATCTGATTTAAAAAACTAGATGCAAATTTTTTGTTACTTTCTTGAGGCAAGTTAAGTGCCACAGGAAGAAAAAAGTCCTTTGGTCCCATGGCAGATCACACCCATCTGGGTAAGAGATTGGGCAACGTCTTTCTCACTGCAGTCAAAGCTGTTGAAAGAGGACTAGGGGTTTATTATTCCTTGTGCTTGTTTTAACTTCAACAAGAACAAGGCAGGACTCTAAAACCTTCAGCAGTCTATTTCAGTAGTCCCTAAGTCTAGTCTCTAAGTTAAACTCTTGACTAAGCAGCCAGAGCTGAGGAAGAATACAGCAGTCCACTCAGCTGTGCTGGCTGGGCAAAAAGATTTCCATGGCAAAAGCTCTGGATGAGATGAGTAATCCGCAGGATGTCATGAGCTTAGAGAAGCAAATGATACTCTGCTTGGCTTCAGGGCTAACCAGTCGAACAACATACATGGGCCTTTTCCCCTGCCAGGGGAAACTGACAGGGCTATTAACAGGGACAAGCTTCTTCCTAAGGTACATCAAGACCTTCAGAAATTCTACTGCCGAGTGTTCAGCCTCCAAAACAAACAAGATTAGCTGCCATTAAAACCAATGGCATATAATGGAGTGGCAAGATGTTGTGTCACCTGCTGACTGCTGCATTAGGATGCTCCTTTTGTATTTGTCTGTAGTAGGTGATAGTGCCAAATGCCGGAATCCATCCATGAGGGAGCAAAGCCACTTCTCCTGTGCCAAACAACCCATATTGCAACAAAGTGTTCTGCTTAACTGTCTTTGCAACTTTTTCCCTGTGATGTAGCAGAGACAGTAAATTTAATAGTCTGGTGTAAATACTTAGTCTTTTCTGGCATCTTAATTATGAATTCCGTTTGACAGAAGGAGGCATATATTTTTCACATTATGTAGAGAAGAAATTGAAGTACCTGTCAAATCTGTCAGAGCTGACTTAGATGAAAGTGAGTTGCCTGAACACCAGAAGTGATGGGTATAAGGCCTTGGATGAAGACTGTGTTGATCTGTAAACCAAAGACATTCAGCTTTCTTCATCCAATATTATTGCTGTTAGTGATTCATATTTTGGATTAATGTAATCAAATTCAGTAAAAAAAAAGTAAAATGAGTTCTTGCTTGTTTAACCTCAGTTCCTATATTACATTCTTTAAACAAGTGGCCCATTTTAGCAAAATAATTTTTTAAATAGAATTTCATTCCAAGTGGTACAAACTGTGCTCTGAAATAGCTGTTTCTGTTCAGCTCACGAATGACTGTGTGCTTATCCATAAGCATACTGATAGAAATCAAATGAACCCGAATAGGCATAAATCCAACTGAGTTTTTGAGGGTTTTTTGCGTTGGTTTAACAGGCTGTCATCTCAGCCTTGGTAAGCCAGGCTCAGGCTGAACCCAAAGGCTATTCAGTCACTTCTGAGTTAAGTCGTTCTGTGTGCGAATCTCTAATGGTGATTCTTGTACAGGGTTGTGGTTTTTGATGCATCCTAATCAGTTTGAAAACAGATGAGGTGATCCAGCTGCTTGGAAGCTCTGTAGACAAACAGCTGATAATGAGTTCAAACATTATGAACTTTAGAGCTCAGTAAAATCACATTTTTGTTAATTAATACATGGGCACCAACAGTGTGTTCAGTTAGATTAAATTAATAGTATCCTTTCTTTCAGACCCTACTGTTTCTTCCTTTTTAAAGAGGGGAGTTACGTGTATGTGAAATGGACTGTTTATTTATGGACTGTTTGATCAGGTTCCCGGGATGGTTCAATGGGTCTCTGGGAAGTCACAGAGGATGTGTTGTCCAAAAGTGATGCCAGGCATAACCTCTCTCAAGTTCCTGTCTATGCCCACATAACACACAGTGCTCTGAAGGACATCCCCAAGGAGAACACCAACCCTGATAACTGCAAAGTCCGAGCATTGGCCTTCAACAATAAGAACAAGGTCAGTAAGATGAGTAAGGCAGTTGAGAAGTCCCAAAACTGTCCCTATGTATTAGAAAAAGAACAAAATAATCTAAACTAAACATACTGGAGAAGCAAGCTAATATTTTTTTTCTCTGATTCTTTTGCGTTCTTGTCTTCACCTGCTTTGTTTGCTTCTGCCCAAGTGAATGGGAGAATCCAGGAGAAAAAAAAAAAAAAAGATATGTTTTCAGAAGGCACAATTTTCCCGTGGGTTTGATTTTAGACTTGCATCCTAAGCAGGGGAGACAAGGAGTATTTGCAAGAAGCAAATAAAACACCAAAACATCTCTTGCAGCTTGAATCCTCAATTCTTGAATGCTCTTGCTACTTTCCTTCCCCCTTTGCGAAGACCAACTTACTCTTAGCAGTTCCTGTTTTGATGTTTGAATCCTTTCTGGATTGCTCAGCAGGTGAGGTGCCTGACTCACAGGGCAGGCACCAGTGCTTGCTTTGGTGCCATTTTGTTGGTATTTGGCCAATGCTAAATGCTAACCTCCCCCATGCTGATCTCCCGTTATTACTAATGGGAGTAGCAATTCATCCTCCATTACTTTTGTTTTTCCTGCCCTCAAAGAACAGAGAAGGTCTGAAGCAAAGGTGGTGTGCTCTCAGAAGCACAGTGCTCCTGTAGGCTGTATTTTTCACAATAGCTACTTCAGTTAGTTACTACTCTGGGATGGACATTTCATGTAGCTTTTTCAGTATAGTGCCTATAGTGCTTCAGGGTTAGAATCAATGTGGGACCTGCTGAAGGGACATGTCAACTCTAGCTTGTACTGTCTAATAATTCACTATTTAATTGCCTAACAACATTTATGGTTTCAAAAGTTATTATTTCTTATTTACTCTTTTATTAACTGTTATTCTACCTACCATCTTTGTACCATATTGTATTCTATGAAGAACACTGTAAAATGAAAATGTATCCTGATAAAGCCTGTACAGGATTGTGGATGAGTTCAATCCAGAGTGTGCCACTTGCCTAGTTTAGAATGAATTTGTAAGGACATCTATAATACAGAAACTAACTCTTTTTTTTTTTTTCTTTCTCCTTTTAATAGGAGCTGGGAGCAGTGTCCCTGGATGGGTATTTTCATCTTTGGAAGGCAGAGCTCACACTATCAAAGGTGCTTTTCTGTTTGTTCAGATAAGGCACCCCATTGCTTTCAGTTTTTCTTTGGGTCAGGTTATATTTTTGCAGTCAACTTATTTTTCAGCTGCATTTTGGGGTTTTTTCACTGCAACTTCCTTGAACATAGCTTACAGAATTGTTCTATTAACATCCTACTCTTGTAACGGATTGATTTTTATGTTTTCTCTTTCCAGTTACTTTCCACAAAGTTGCCATACTGCAGGGAGAACGTGTGTTTGGCTTATGGTCAGGAGTGGTCAGTGTATGCAGTAGGATCACAGGCACACGTCTCCTTCCTGGACCCAAGGCAGCCTTCCCACAATGTTAAATCCGTCTGTTCCAAAGAACGAGGCAGTGGTAAGAAACCTGTCAAAAGGTGCTTCAAATGATTTTCTTGCAAAAGTAGCTGTTAAGACTGCAGTAAGTCAAGCTTTTAATTAACAGGAAGGGTTTTTCCTGTGATAGACTAAATAATTAATAGTGTATATATAGGTTTTGCTTTTATGACAGCATTCCATGAGCAACCAACACCAAACGTGACAGCAGCTCTGAAATCTAGTGAAGGGCAATATCAGTGCCCTTATGATCAACTAAATTGTAACCCATTCGAATGTTACTGGACTTTTAAAAGTGTGCATTTTACTTCAGCATATTTTTTACTGTGTCTTATTCTATTTTAATTCCTCTCGGACCCAATCTAGTCGTTTTGCCACTCTTTATACTGTTCTTGCATTTTTCTCTGAGAATTAGGAAAGAAGGCATGTTGTCTGCTCTCTGCTATCATACTGGGAGTCTGTGCTTGCTTTGTAATTTTAAAGCCATGAGTGAGACTCCTGATTTTCAGTGTGATTTGACTGCTGTTTCCTTTTCTCACATGAATGCAATATGTGCAATTGAACCTCTCACCAGGCCGGGCCTGAGAGCTTGCAGGGTCCATGGTTCCATAAACTTCTTACCTTACCCTTTATTATCAGGCATGAGAAGGCACTGTGCCATATTAACCCCAGACTAATAAATTGCAGTCCTTATTTAGCTTGGCTTTGGGCATCCATCTCTTCATCGGGCAAGTTACCAGAAGAGGATGGACGTAGGCAAGGATTTAGGAAAACTTTATTTATGTAGTTACAGAACAATCTTGTCTAGATCAATGTCAGGGTCTGCTTCTTTCATGTACGGGAGAAGTATCTGTTGTGTCAGGGAAGGTCACCTCAACGTCTTACCAGCAACACGCCTTGTCCTGACTTGCTGCCAATGGTGGCTGAAAGATTCTGCCTCGAGTATGTGACCATCCCTGCTGGGGGGATAATCTGTGTGTGGGGAGTATCTGCAGGGCATCTCCATTTCACATCTGGTGAAAGCCTTTGTTTAGTGCTGTTTTCTGTGCTGCATAGAAGCTGGTTCTTTTTATTCGGCTTGGTGATGGAGGCACGTAAATAACAGTAATTCCCAAGATACTGAGCGTTTCAACTTTCTGTTGATCTCCCTGGGGCTTGGAATGGTGCAGCACCTCTAGAAAGCAGGCTCCTTATTGATTTGTGGAATAAAATCTGACTTCAAGTGCTTTGAAGTAGCAGCTGAATGTGCTTTAAGTTTCCAAGTGCACCTGGTGAATGTGGTAAGTCCATTCAGTTCACTCGTGTTGTACACAAAAGCAGGTCAGAGAAAGGTTGTGGCTTAGCAAGACTGGAACTGGGGCTGATTTTCCCCCGTTTGAACCCTGTCTGCTCTACATGAGAAGGCAGTGAATGCTTTTTAGTGCATCTTATAAGTGTTACTTTTCTTAGAGCTGTACAGGGAAGTGCAGGCCCTGGACTGTAGGTCTTGATCCACAAAAGCAGCTGCTCTCTGCTCACGTGGCAGAGCAGTATCGTGTGCCCTTGACTTGGTGTCCTGCAGGCAGCAGTGCTAATGCAGCACAGACTCTGTGTCTGCTCCCTGTGTAGGACACACCACTGCATCTGCATTTCCTTCTGGGATCTGCCACTTAGGAGAGGCGCTCAATTTGCTGTCCAGGTCCACGGGTGGTAGAGTGCTGGGAATGTAGGATAGCTTACTGTGATCAGTTCTAGGCACAGGTTGTGCTTTTAGTTTGATAGGAATGGTTAATCTGGGGTACTTGAGCCCCTTAGGAGCCAATTTGAAGAGCTGTTTTTGAAAGCCTGTTCTAAATATCCTGTTAGTAGTGTGGGTGCATCACTTAATTTTTTTTGGTTAGAGAAATATCCACAGGTATTCTTCATGTTATAGCTTTTTATTAACAAATTCCATTGAAAAGCGTATGCCATCTGCCTTCATACTCCATCACCTGTTTCTGTGAAGTAAGTATTCTTCTGAATTGCTTGTCAAGAGCACTTCTGGAGCAAAAACAAGAGGAGGTCCACTCTTGTGCCTTTCTCCTCTTAGATAAGTGACTGCTTTTGCTGATTGCAGAGGGCTTGGAGTGTGTTTGCCAGAGCCAGGTCCGTGTGCTGGGGGTGGGGGGAGTAAGTCTGCAGGTTGCTCAGGTGCGTTTGTAATTCTGAGTTAAAGTGGAGATTCTTACATGAATCTGGTAAATTTCCTTCAGCAGGTGTGACTTGCACAGTGGTTTCCCACCTATTAAACCTGCAGTCAAGACTTCACCTCACATCTGGAGCAGGGCAGTGTGGCCTTACCTGTTCCAAGTGTGTGTCATGGGTGCTGGTGGCTGTGGATATAACATCAGGCTGGGGAGGCAGAAGGATGAGGATGCGTTTCTAGTTAGGACTCTCTACAGAGGGGAAAGGGGAGCTCCCTGACTGTATCTGCAGCTCCCAGGTGTTGTCTGTCCCATGCGTGTATTGGTGTATTCCAGGACGTTAGAAGTTCAGCCCCACTTGGTACAGTAACAGCATTTGGCACGTGGATGTAGCTGGCAGAACTCACTCTTTTCCCCTCCTGTTTGTATGCTTGTTTAGGCTGTAATTCAGTGGTACTTCAAAGAGGGCTTAAAAAGGCCTAGGGTTTATAACCTGGCATTACTCTGTGCAGGAAGGAGGATCACAGATTTGGTGGAGTTTAATCTGCACTGAAGAGTTGTTTGGAGTAGAGTGGTTGCACAGAACAAACCTTTTGCACAATAAATAGAGAATTTGCAAATTGCAGATTCCTACATACAGAACAAAGGTGCTCTTGACCCTAAATGGCTTATCTGGCAGAGCTGGGCCCTGTTGAAGATGAGGCTTCTTACTGTGCCCCTGCAGTGTAGCCGATGGCCTCAGAGGAGCAGGGCATTAGTGTGTGTCATCGAGCTGCTGTTTCAGCAGCATCAGTGGGATCTGTCTGCACTGCTCTGTAGCAGTTGTGGAGAACACTAGAAGGTAGTGTTAGACATGAAATAACAGCCCTGCAGAGCCAAAGCATCCCTCTTCCTTACTGCTCTGTCTGTCCCTTCTCTGCTTGACAGGTATCCGGTCGGTGAGCTTCTATGAGCACATCATCACCGTGGGAACTGGGCAAGGTTCCCTGTTGTTCTACGATATCAGAGCCCAGAGGTTCCTGGATGAAAAGCCCCCCCATGCCTGCTATGGCCCGAAGCAAAAATTAGGAGGAGGTGAAATTTTGAAGTTGACAACTGGGAAAGGCTGGCTGGTGAGTAGGTTGTAACTGTAGGAGACCCCTTACACAGGAATACTATAGGGCTTGAGCTGGTTCTTCTTCTGGTAATGGGAGCTGTTGTGTGAAATGTGCCCCAGTCAAACAGGGATCATGTACTGACAACTAACAATGAGAAGCAAGAAGTGCTGCAGAATTGCTTTCTACAAAAGCTTTAGGAAAGGGTACTGAAGGTTAGCTGCCCGGGTGTGAGGCATACTGACTACTGTTCTTATGCACTGATTCATAGGTGAACTAGATTGTATATTTTTATATTTTCAAATGTAATCTAACTCCTGGTTTTCAGAACCTCAAACAGAAATAGTATTCCTTTAGAGCCATGCTACTCTGATGTGGTACTCAGGGCAAGAGAGATTTAATTTAATTGTGTGCAGTTTTAGAAACTGTGGCTTCCTGAGGTAATGCCATGGCAGGCACTTGTGTTCAGTTTCCTGTATGTTATCATAAACTAGTTAATGGCTTTGTTTAACTTAGCTCCATTACCATTACCATCACTGTGATGTCCCTACCCTTCACCTCCCCGTTCCAATGTTTGGTCTAAATGTCCACAGAAAAAGCTTCAGAACAACACTGATATCTTTTAGTTGATCTGTATGAAGTTTCAGGAGCATTCAGAGGAAACAACTCTTTTTAAGCTCTGGAAGATACTTTCTGCTTTTGTGAAACAGGGTTTTGGGTTTGGTTGGCAACAATAATGATCTAAACTTTCCTTTAACAGAACCATGATGAAACCTGGAGGAATTATTTTTCTGATATAAATTACTTCCCAAATGCTGTTTACACCCACTGCTACGACTCGTCTGGAACGAAACTCTTTGTGGCAGGAGGCCCCCTTCCATCAGGACTTCATGGGAATTACGCTGGTCTCTGGAGCTAATGATAACTCTTCATAAATGCTGATCTTTACACAGATTTCCACTTTTCTTTTCCTTTTTTAACAACAAAATTGTGTGATGCCATTGATTCCTGATTTAAGCGCAAGTTATTTTTTGGCAGAGTTTTCTGTTGGTCTCCAACAGTTTTTGTACATCTTTTTGAACCAGTTTTTTGCTTTAACCTCCTTGATCCTTTATATGAAGGGGTTTTGAAATCCTTTTTTATTGTATTTACTCCAAATGACTCTCCCCCCCATTTAGGCTGTCTTGGCCATGTGCCCCCTCCCCTACTTTGCTGTGAGGTGGGATTCCTTTCTTATAGAGTGGTTGCTCCTGGGCTTTCTGTGAAAGTCTTGGGGCTGCATGTGTGCAGGTACTTTGTGTCAGTTACATTACCTGGAGTGAGGACTACTTGTAATTAAAAAATATTAAAAGTATTTATAAGAGATAAGCTACTACTTTATCTGCAGAGCCTGGCCCTGGCCTGGGTTGATCTTATTTTTAAAAGTACAAGTCTAATGACACTGTTTTTACATAGAGGGATTATGGTTATTTTAGGCTCTGCTCACTGGAGCCCAGGCACAGATTCCCCCAGGGTATTGCCCATCAAGTCCAAAGTGCAGGAGTTCTAAAAAGTGCATTTGTATTTGAATGGTAGTTTTCAGCAGTGCCAGGAGTAAAAATTGATCTTTTGTTTCTTCACTGCCCATCCCAGGTACCAACTTTTGCACAGGTGGAGTTTGCAAAGGCTGTTCTGCAGCATGGCTGTTGCAGGGTGACATTACATTGAGGGCTGCAGAGGTGCTGAGGGGAAATGGGGGCTGGTTATTCAATATGAACTAAATCTTATCTGTTTTCCAGATGAGCCATGGTTTCTCAGTATGCTGTCGGGGTAGCTCATGAGATTTTCCTAAACTGCCTAAAACCCAGGACCTTTTTTATGCTGGGTTCTGGAAATTTTTCCCATTTTTGCTGTTCTGGTTGGCCATCTCCTCTAATAAGCCAATGGAATAAATAAACTATTTTTTTTTCTATGAGATTAAAGAGTGCATCTTGGACTTAACTAATGCAAGTGAGAAGCTTTCCATATAGGAGGATAGCTCGGTGTCAGCTCACGTTGTGCCACATATGCTGTAGGAGAGACTCAGACTTTCCCCAAATCCCCTGCTTCCTTCTGCTTCCAGGCTCCTGTGAACTTCACCGGGGACTGGGAGGGGAGAACAGGTGCAGTGCCCTTCAGGTCCAGCTATGAAGCATGTGCATCCCAGGGTGGTGGTCTTACTGCATACCCAGCTAAAATGCAGGTCTCCAGGTGCTCCTCCTTTTGGCAGGCACCAAACTCTCAGCTTGTTACTGATGCCTCTCTCTTCTGCTGGGATGAATGCCTTTCCCCTGACACTAGTGGAGCAAAGTGTGCCTGGACCTCACTGCTTTGGTGACAAAGACGGAGTTGGTTGAAGCTGAGGAAGAAGACGAGGCTGGGACACGCTCTGCTCTCCTGTCTCTGTGGAGATCACAGCTACTGCTGCGGTTCCTGCTGACAGCCCAGAGCGAGTCTGTACCTGCCTTTGCAGTCCCTCTTGTCTTCATACTCAGTGTCTTCTTCAACAATTCCAAGCAGTGAGCCTCAGGCTTAATTTGCAGTTGGCAAGGAGACCTGCATGGAAATCCTCCAAAGAATGCAGTTCCCTCCTGTCCGAGTGGAAATCCTGGCAAGAGAAGAGCTCTCTCCCAGATGTGCACCTGTCCCAGAAGTATAATTTGCACTGAGCACTGACACAGGTGCTTCACAAACACATCATCTTCCAGTGTTTTATAATTGTACTTCCCTTGTGGGCTGCTTAAACTGCAGCAGTCCACGATGCTGTGTGTACAGCTAGCCAGGTTTTTCTCTGAAAAGGGCAAATTTTATACCATGGGGTAGTGAAGAGTTAGGGTTGCACATTTTATTTAGAGTTGTTCATCGTTTCATTTTAAAGATGTCATAATGGTGCCTGTGTTGTTCTTTGACAGCAAGTTACTGCTTTGCATATTTTTTGATTTAGAAAAGTGGGAGTATACAAAGAAAAACAAGTCTTGGTCAAGTATGGCAGGATTTGTATTTCTTGGATTACTCCTGCAGCTACTGTGTAAGATCACTCTGTCACAGGGCACATGTTCTGCTGTTTTTATTCGACCTTGGTTTGAAGTTTGTTTTGTTTTGTTTTTCTGAAGAAGCTAGACAGTTGAGTCTACTTGAGCATTCTCCAGAAAACAACAGCAGATAATAGATAGGCACTTTGTGTCTGCAGTGCCAGAGGACAACTCCTGGTCTGGAAATTCTAGCCTTGATGTTGATCTATTGATTGAAGCATATGCCAGGTCATGATGAGGGGGGGAAAAAGGGTATTTGAATGGACAGAGCTTCAGCCTTCAAACATGGAGGCTGCTTTTTCTGCAGTCTCTAAGTTACTGAAGAGGCGCCACTGGAAATTGTCAGTCCTTGCTGACTCTGATCTCCACAAGTACCTCGATAGGTGGTCTTAAAGCCTGGTATTGTGAGTGCTCTCTTCCTCCTTTTTTTTTCTACGTGGGAAGCCCTGGACAATTCTCAGACAGATCTGGACAATGATGTAAAATTCCTGTAGTCTCACATGCTTCTGCTTTCAGGGTGCTTTCTTGCAAAGGTAATTTCTCGTGGGAAGGGAGCCATCTTTGTTGCTGTATGAATACCCCCCAAAAAGGGAAACAAAGTAGGTAGTGCTGGAAGCACACAAGCAAATTGGGCCTGACAAAACTTAATTTCTAGCCTGTTTCAGTGGTTTTAAATGCTTGTAGCAATACAGTTGTTGAGTTTCAGAATATTTTGTGGTTGGTCACATATTTTGTTCCAATCAGTGTTAGAAATTGAGGCAGAGAAAAGCGATGTACTCAAGACCTTCAATTTGCTTAAACTGGGTAGAAGTTGGAGGCTGGGTCAGACTTGGGAACTGGGCAATTGTCCTTGTATTTCTTTGACTGATGGGATTACACAGTAACAATCTGTTCCTTGGAGGGAAGACACTCTGGTTTATCTCACTTGAAGGAAAGAAAAGAACTTAAATCATAACATGCCTTCAAACCTGCTGCTGCTCAGCTTTTTTCAATAGACTACCATGTTAATTTGGGTATCTTTGGGTATTGTATTTTCAGTATTCATAATAACAGGTAATCAAACCAGTGACTAAATTATGGGTTTGGTAATACCTGGCTTGTGAGCACTGGCTAGCAACTTCTCAGTAATAGCTGGGTGTTATGTGATGGGACATTCCTGAGGAATCAGAAGCTGCAATAAGGGTGGTGCTCTCCCTCTTCACCAAACACCTTATTCCTGTAATTCCTCCAGCTTTCTCCCTTGTACAGTCAAGTCTGGTAGGGAGAACTGCTGGTGCTCTCCTCTGGCACTTTCTGGGATTGCAGTAAAGAAGTGAGTTCATTTATTTGGTTCCCTCATCACAGCGCTGCTGGTGTGTTAGCTCAAGGTGAATAAATTACCAAAGAATAGTTAGTAGGTGTTTGTTCCTAGTCTCAGTTGTTAACTTTTCTCATAGATCCATTTTTAAGGTCATTGGTAGACTGCCCAGTGGTCCTTCTGAACGTAGTCAGTCCACATCACACTTTGGATGGCTCTTGTGACTCTCTTCATGAGGGGAGCTCCTGAACTGCATTGTAGGGTTTATATTTGCTGCCTCCATTTCAGGTCTTTGGCAGCTTTTTATCTCAAGGATTAAGATAGTTCTCCTCCAGAATTTCATCCTCTTCCTTCACCAGAGTGCTTGCTTTGTATATAGCTTGCAGCTGCAGAGTTAACAGATTAAAAGTTATGATCCACCTATGTCGAGTGGTGCTTTGGTGTCTTAATTTCTGCCCCTCGGTTGAGGCACTTACAGACCTTGTGAAGTGTTGTCCCTCACCTGGTGCAGGTGTGAAACAAAGCAGGCTTGAAGGTGACCCCTTCACAGAGGTCACTTGTTTGCTTTGTTTGCAAGAAACCAAGAACAGGTGGGCTGTCAGTTGCATCTTGGAAAAGTAGCCAGGTGGGAGCTCTGAGGTCTGTTTGTGGTGGTCTGATACCCTTATTTTCCATAAACCCAGTTTTCCAAGGTGTCTGATATGTTCTTAATTCTTTTTCAGTTGCTGCTATGACTGAAATACTGGACTGGGGTACAGCTTGTTCTTAAGGAACACTTGCAGAGCTGTGTGGGATGCAGGTGGAGCTGATCCTCTGGCCAGCCTGTGCTGAGCCCGACTCCTGTCCGTGCCAGGCACACACTTTCTACCTTAAAGCCAAGTGAAAATCCCTGTGTGCCCCACTGGCCATCCCACAGTCTGAGCCTGTGGTGTGACCTCAACTTAAAATGCCTTTCTGACTGTTGCAGTGCCCTCAGTAGCTTATTTGAAAGTCTCTGAAGCACAGGCACCCGGAACAAGGTAGAGTGGAAAGGAGAATACAGCCACATCTTGTGTGAAGGAATCTCTGCCTGCGCGTGCTCTCCTTTGCCCCTCCAGGTGAGCACTTTGTGTGGTGAGGATGGGCAAGGGGCACCAGAGAAGCAGTGAAAGGCAAACTTTGATATGGCTTCTGGGACTCCACAGGAATTAAAAAACATAGAGGGGATACCTGAAAGGGGTGAATCAGAAACATCTTCAGAGAGATCAAATATATATCCCTGTCATTCTTGTTTCAGTGATAAAATTAGGATGTATCTTTTTGCTTGTGACTGCTGTGTTTCTTTAGGAAAACCATATGGTACTTGGCTAATTAAAAGAATGCTCTTGCAGAAAGGAATCTTCCCATTTCATAACAGCCTTTTCCACTGGTATCCTGCTGGGAGCGGTATAGTCTAAGAAAGTGCACACAGATTTGAAACAGGGTGCCAGAGTTGGCAGAGTTGGGAAAATGTGGGCTGCCTGACTGTTTGTGTTCCCAAAAAAAAAACCACCAACACTTGATTGTATACAAATTGCGGTCGTTGGACTGAAACTGAGAGGGTGTATACAAACCCTTGCAACACAGTGCAATGTCTCCAGTCCTAGATGTTGGTTCTTTTGCCTTCAGAACAAAAATCTAGGGGTCAATACATTGATTTCTTAGGAACTGCTTTTCTAGATTCCCTTACTAAAAGGGAAAATTCAGGTGCTGAATTCTTATCTCATTAAACTTGTACTTTTTATTTGCCCATCTACCTGGTCTCTCTTCATTTCCAAGGCCTCCCACAGTCTCAGGGTATATAAATCACTATAACTCATCCAAATAGTATCTAAACGGACCAACCAGAGGTTAATGTGCCTTCCTCTTCTGGTACCTTGATCTTTGTGAAGTTATCTCACAAACTTTTCCCTGTCCTAGGGCTGGGTACATGCATTGTCTTTTTCTAAGATGTGTGTGTTGAAATTGCAACAGGTTTGTACTGTTACTTGTGACTTGTTCCATTTGTCTTAGGATGTGTAGACACAAATCAATGCACTGGTTGGTCTCATATCAGTCTTACCAGTGACATCTGTCAGTGCTTGCTTGTGTGTTCATGTGTACACTGGTGCTGGATCTTCCTCACTGCCTGTGGTGCATATGATGCACAAAATACACAAGGTGTTTTAACTTGTTGCCTGAGGGTTGGATTTTGTAAAGTGAACTGTTTTTAATGTTTGGGGTTTTTTTTCCCAAATATATTTAATAAGATCCAAAGCCTTGAGGGGAGGAAAAAAAAAAATCAAGACTTGCTGATACTTGCTGGCTTTTGTTCTGAAACCAGGGTCTGATGTTTAACAACTCCTGCAAGTCAACCCATCTAACAGAGCCTTTCTCAGCTTGTTTCTGTATTGAGCTGTGTCAGAAATGGCACTGGATCCTAAACTATCACAGAAGCTGTCAAGTGCAGTAGTAACAGCTCTCTTCAAAATTACAGTGCACATTTTTAACTCTAAGATGAAACTTAGAAGTTATGACGCAGCTTGCAAATGGAACAGTGGGAAATTGCAGATAGCCTGTGCAACCAACCTGTCTGCACATCGGGTCTAGTGTTCTGTTACTTTGCAAATTGTTTCTTCTCTCTGAAAAGTGATTTTTTTTTTATTTTTTTTTTTGATAGAAAGACATTACACTTTTGGCTTACTTTTCTAAGAGTATCTTTGTTAAAAGCCTCAAACCAACATCTGGAATTTGGGCTGAGTTTCCATGTCTTATGCAGATGGTGCAGTTGATACATGATGTCTCATAAAAGCATGGAAACAGGAACACATCCTCACTGTGGCCTTCCATGGGCATGCCTATGCATAATTAACTGAATTACAGTACTGCACTCTTGATACGTGAGGATACCTTTCTATTTAGAATCAGCACGATTAGTCATTGATGCATTGACATTAATACAGGGTCATGGAGCTCCAAGGTATGCGTATTTCCTGTGCTGACTGCATCTGTTCTCTCTGTAACCCAGAGCAGACTTACTCTGGAGTTCTCTTTTTACCTCTTGCTAACTTCAGAGTTCCTTTAAATTGTTTTTATGACAGTAACTTTTCAGAGTAGAACAAATGGATTTAACTTTGTTTTCTATTTTAAGCATCTTCCTCTCCTCCCATTTTTCCCTAGTTCACCTGTAACAATCTGTTCAAAGCTGTCTGCCTACTCTGAAAATTATCAAGTCCAAAATAAAAAGAAAACCTATAACCCAATGTGGAAGGATCACTGTGTGCTTTTACCATAAACTTTTGCAGCTGGCTGCCTGCCTTGCAAGTGGAGACTCCACCGCTGCACAGGCTGCAGAAGCTGAAATTCTCTTGCATCCATATAGTTCGGTGGATCGGGAAGTGGAGGTGCCCTGCATTGGCCCCCAAGTGAGTTTATCAGACTGATCTGTGGTGGTTTAGCCAGAGAACTGGCACCTTTGGCTGCTACTCAAAGAACTAAAGGTTTCAGTGAGGGTAAAGCCAGGAGGGTGAATTGCTGACTTGATCCCATTTAAAGGCTTTCTCCACAGATTTTTGGCTTTTTGTCTTTTGCATAGTTGGTGGATTAAAAAAGAGTAGGGATATCAGCTAAACAATAACCCTGTGCTCAAAGTTATTCTAATGAACTTTGGCCAGCAGTAATGACAAAGGCTGGCTACACTCAAGAGGTGAGCTGGCAATGGACTGTTTGAAGGGTAGGCCTTGAGGGTTTGCTCTGTGCCTTAGATCACTGCAGATCAGTTGCTCCCAGAGCTTTCGAAACTCATGTTCATCCCTCTTGATGTGAGGAGTGAAGATGGCATGGGGAAGAACCTGTTCTCCCAGTGGTCACTCAGTCTTCCCCTCAACACTCAAGTTTACCAGTGCACTTGTCTCTTTGTTTTCATGACTGACTGTGACTAATGTGCTTTACAGCTGCCACCAGCCACCTCCATATGCTTTGTGCTGGGATGATGGAGTGGAAGGGCCTTGTCTGCGTCATCTTCCATCTGGCTGGTTGTTGACAGTGCAGGGTTGTAACAGGCCGGCTGGGATTTACGGCTTCAGCTGGTTGCTCTGGGCATCTTTCACAGTGTAATAGTGGGGCTATTATGAAAAGGACTGGATAAGTAACTTCTGGTGGGCTCTGTCAGTGTTGTTCAAAATGCTGTCTCCAGTCTTGGCCTGTCATCCCAGACTCGCTCGCATCTTGCCACACTCTGCTGCTTGGGACTTGAGCAAGTTCCCTGTCCTCTCATGGTTCACTAGTTCAGGTACCAGTTCTGCAAAGCCTGGGGGCACCTGTTAGAGCCCTGCTACAGTCTGAAACTTCTACACTTGCTTAGGCTCACTGAACTGGGACCTTGCTCACAATCTCCCTATTTATTTTACTTAGCCCTAGATATCTTCTTGGACTTCCATTCCCCTTTCAGTCTGAAAGGGTTTGCTTCAAGGTCATTCGTGGGCCATGAAGGAGTTGATTCCTGTACTGCTGGTTATTGCAATTTGGTGGCTTTTATTTTTCTTGTTTTTATTCTTGAGTTCACTGCAAATGTACAAAACTATTCTGAAAAAACCTTCCTCAACTCCTGAACGTAGTACAGGGGCCAACCTGTGAGGCATCAGAATTATTTTTCTACTCCCAAAATGCACAGAAACAAGGGTCTCTTAGACAAGTTTTAAGAAGGAAAAGCAGCTGCATACACATAAGTAGAAAGGTATCTCTGGGTAGAATAGGTGAGGGAGCAGTTTAAGAATTTTAAGTATAAGAACTGCAATTGATTTGGGTTTTGTTTCTTTTGTAAAAATTCCTTTAACAGGAGATTAGGTGGTGTTTTAATCCAGAGAAAGCTGCAATGTAAACTGAGTTGTTTTTTTCATCAATGCAAAATGTGCCTCTTAAGTAGAATGCGAAGTCAGTCTCTCATTCTCTGTTTGCAGGGATAGAAATTTAACTGAAGACTGATTTAATGTGTTTCTTGCTCTTATGTGTAATCCTCCATACAACAGTCCTTGCTGGTCTTTCCCAAGCACTATTCAGCACTATCCCTATTTGAAAGCAAAATAGGTGTTGTGTTGAGCAGTGTAACCTGATAAACTTCCTTGGTTTGAGAGAGACACTGGAGAGAAGAGTCCAGGTTCCATGTGTTTTAATACAACTTTAAAGCAGTGCAGCTATTCTCTCAGACCAGCACCGCTTCCTGCCTTTCCCTCCATTTAGATGGGAATTTAAAAGTAAACCGAGCAATACCTGATCCAGTTGATGTGCTTGCAGGTGGAACATGGACTTTCTGTTAAATTTGAAGACTGAGATTTCTCTTGTGGAAGAACTTGTCCTGGGTGTAAGAGCTTGGATCTCAGATTACAGCTCTTCTGCCAGTTTGTTACATGCACTTAAGTATTCTGGACTCTTCTGAAGAGGATTGTGGAAAAGCTGTGAAGGTGTAGACTGGAACTGATAATTTTAGGTCATCTGTGTGTTGCTTGACTACATGGACAATATAACAGTGATTTTTTTTTTTTCCATGTGTCAGTCACAAATAATTCTTAATTTGCTGTTTGGAGGAAAACTGTTAATAGATAAGTTTCCAGATCAAATTATGAGCCTAATTTTCCCTCTTGCATAACCGGGTTACTGTGTTCACATGCCAGAAAGATGTTGCTCTTTGAAAAAGCATGTTAGTGTATGTGGCAATGCCCCATGCACTTTTTAAATACCTAGGTCTGTACATTCTCATCTGAGTATCGTTAACCACGCTGTAGTCTGAAAAATGGATCTTTTACTACTGCCCTGTTATATAGATAATTGTAATTCACTGCAGTTTGTTTTTTTCCACTTCTTGAAGTTGCGTGATCTGAAAATTGGTGAACAGAAAGTATTTGTGCATCTTACTATGGGTATCTCTAAATAAAATGTATTTGTATAGTGTCTTGGCTTGGCTGATGGTTTCCTTTATTTGGTAATCATCCCATGGCAAGTAAATCCAGGGCAGTTTGAGAGCAAGTGGGCTTGGATTTCTTACTGTAACAGTCCAGCCTCTCTGTGGACATGACTGATTCAAAGGAAACACAGTGAACTGTTGTTTTTCCTTCAGCAGTGAGTGGATTGATATCCCAAGTACAGACTCTCAGGTTATTCTTGTTTTTTTCATGGCTTAAACATCAGTCTTTGTTCTCTGTACGGCTGCAGTAACTCTCCTTACTTCCATAGAAAATCTATCTAGTAGCAAAGTTGGGACTTTTACACTTCAAAGCGTCTCCTTCGTGTTCTCTTCATCTGGTACCTCATTTGTTCTGAGGCAAGAGTTTCCTTCCAACCACTTTATTTTCCTGAGAAGGAAATACCCCTTAGGAGCATTGGACAGCACAGATACCTGTAGCTGGACAGTCAGGTAAGTGTTCCAGGAAGACCTTGCATCCCAAAACTGCATCTGAAGCATTTCCACATATTTCCACAGTACAGGAGAGTGAGGCCTTTGTACAGCTGTCCCGTTTCACTGCTATGAGTGAGAAAATTATGTTTTGAGAGGAGGAATGTCCTTAAGCAATCCGAATTTTACACTGGAGGTTAAAATCCTGTGCCTAAAATCAGCTTTTGCATCCCCCGTCTTCACCCTTGGCCTCATCCTGGGTGGCTGGTTTCCATGGTCGTGGACAAACTGGAGCTTTGTAAGCAAGCTGTGGGAGATCATGTTTCCAACTACACCATCTCTGCTCCCAGTAGTAGGCATTACTGACACTTGTAGATGGAAGAGGAGGCATGAGAACACTATGCTGTCGTTCTACTGAGCCTTATAACAAAACTGTTTGAGAACTGAGAGATGCAAAGAAAAACCAAATCCCCTGGCCCTGGAGACATGCAGAGGGTGATGGCTTAGAGAGGGCCCGGGCAACCAAGGGTATGAACTCCCCACCTGCCTCAGATGTTCCATTGAGTACAACATTCACTTAGTGAGGGGCCTGTCAGGACCAAAAATGACCCAGTGAGTTCCTCTTACATCTGTGTCCAGCTTAAATCTCAGCAATAAAGAGTCCAAATCCTCCCCCAGCAACTAATTTTAGCATTCATCTATGTTGTCGCCTCACCTGCCTTGCAGGTCCCCTCACTTTCCCATTCACAGTGCAGAGGAAGCAGTTTGCTCCGTTCTGTGAGGCAGCTCACCTCTGTTTTTTGGAAGGGATTTTTAGCTATTTCATGGCCATGGCCTTCACTCCTTATAGCACACAGTCCAGGTTCCCTCAGTGCTTTCTCACTGGCCATGCTTGGCATGTGCGTGTGTGGCCATCATCCTTCCTGCCTGTGGAACCAGGATGAGATCCATTGCACTCCCTGGCCTGGAGCCTGCAGCAGGACGATGCTGTTACCAACTGCGTTTTCACTGTTCACCACCACCGTGTGGCAGTGGACATTATCCCTTTCAACACTCAATGTGCTGCCTGCCTCCCCCTCCCATCCCAGCTGCTGCAGGTTTGCTTGCCTGTCATCACTTCCCTTCTTGGGTGTATTTTGGTTTTGATCTCTGTGACCTGGGGCCTCAGCTCTTGCCAGCTGGTGGCACCGCTGTTGCAGAATGAGGAAGACAAACCAGGGAATAGTTTCACACCGTTCTGTTGAGTTCTTCCTAGCCACAGCTGTACTCAACCTGTCTGTTTCTGAATGGAGGATCAGGGTAGTCTTTCCCAGTGCAAGGTGCTTCCGTGGTCCAGTAAATGAATTAATAATTGAAGAGATACCGGGGACATAGTGCTTGCTTGAACTGTTTTTTGGGCAAGGGTGGCCTATTCTTTCAGAGACTGAAAGTGACAAAGTTCACAGTGTATCAGAAAACAAGAATCTCTGTGGTTGTGCCCCAGCTTCCTCAGTCTCCCTTAAGCCTCCTCACCTGGAAGAACAAATGTGAGGAGGGCTTCAGCCCCCTGCAAGGCTCAAGGGACCATGTGGCCAACATGGCATTTGGGACCTTCGGGTCAGCTGCTCCAAAGTACTGCCCTGCATGGAGGGTCTTACTGCTCCCTCTTTGTTAAGGTGTAGCGTGAGCTGGGAGAGGTGAGAGAGAAGCCACAGGTCTCAAGTGCAGAGCTGAGGTCAGAAGGTCAGCTGGACATTTGCTCAAACAGTTCATGCCAAAGACATAAACAGAGCGAGGGCCATGCTCCAGGGATGCTGAAGCACCAGCAGAAAGATTTGTAGCCCCTGTAATCAATGCTTGTGAATTGTTTTTCTTCATGTTGTCAAAAGTTTCCCTGTTCCAGGGTTTCTTCTCTTTACAGACCCAATGCAGTGCCTGGTGCATATTGAACATGAAGAACACAGATTCAGCTACAATAGAAATTTCACAGATTTTAGACAACTGGAAAAAATGTGGCCAAATTTAAGGCTGCCTTTGGGAGACAGGCAGATAGGCACTGTTGCTGTAAAACTCCTTCCTGTATAGCTGCTGTATACTAGACAAGTACTCAGGGAGAAATGCTGACTGATTTCTCCAGGTATCTGAGGCCTGAGAAAGGTCTTGGAGCCAAAAGGGTGACAAATGAGGAATAGTTGGTCAGCACTAAGGAAAACACCAGGGAAAGCACCATACATTTCCCCCTGTGCTGTGGTGGCAGCCTGCTGCTGAGGGCTGCTGGACACCACACTGCAGCCAGGCCAGCAAGGATGACAGCAGAGCGCTGTTAAGCTATAACAACTTCTGATCTTGCCCTCTAGTAAAACCACTTCATATAGAATTATTTTTTCCCTCCAGGAGATGAATTCTAGGAGTCATGATGATTTGCCATGTGTATTTTTAGGAGCATCTTTTTTCTGTTAATTTCAGAAAGTCCAACTTCACTTTTTACTGGTATAAGTAGGCTTTGACTCAAAAAAAACACCTCTGTCCCAGTTCTCTTGTAGGCTGCTGCTGATGCACTTTGAGTGCATTTGATTTTGGGGAAAGCATTTAGTCCTGTGCTCTGGGCTGCTCAACTTGTTGCTTAGGGGGAAGGGAAACATCTGGAGCTTGAACGTTCTGCATTGAGCAATAGGAAGTGACTACATGGAGAAATCTGTCTTGTCTGTCATGGATTTCCATGTCACCGTTCTTTCTCAACTTACTAACACATTCTTGGAATAAGAAATGGTCAGAGGAATCAAGACATATCCCTGAATGCTGGGTGCCTGCACTCTCTGAATGGCAGAATAGATGAAACTGAAAGAGACCTTCAGAGATCAGATAGTCCAAACCTCTCTGGGTAACCTGTGCCCATATTTGACCACACTCACGGTAAAAAAGTTCTATGTATAACAGGAATTTGCTGTTTTTCAGTTTGTGGCTTATCACTGGGCACCACTAAGAAGTCTGGCTTCATCTGCTTTAGTTACTCCCATGAGGTAAGGAACTGAGCCTTCTCTTCTCCAAGCTAAACAATCCCAGCTCTTTCAGCCTGTACCTGTTTGTTGAGTACTTCAGCCCCTTAGTCATCTCTGTGACCCTTCACTAGACTCCCTCCAGTATGCCCATGTCTTTCTTGCATTGTGGAGCCCAGAAGAGGACACAGCACACCAGACATGTCCCGTCAGTGCTGAACGAGTGGGAGGAGGGGAAGGATTGCCTCTCATTCTGCTGACAACTCTCCCCCTAATGCAGGATGTCTGCCTTTGATTCAAGGGCACACGGCTGGCTCATGTTCCACTGTCCACCAGGACTTCCATGTCCCTCTCTGCCAAGCTCCTTTACAGATGGTTGGCCCCAAACTGGCATATGGAATTATTCCTTCCCAGGTGCATAACTTCCCTTTGTTGAACTTCATAAGATTTCTTTTGGCCTCAGCCTGTTGAGGTCCCTCTGAATGACACCACACTGTCTGGTCCATCAGCCACTCCTGGTTTTGTGCTCTCTCTGTGAACTTGCTGCACTCTGTCCCACTGTTGTAATGAAGATACTCAACAGTATTGGCCCCAGGACCCAGGTCACACCGCCAGCAACTGGCCTCCCACTGGACTTTGTGCCAGAGACCTCAACCCCTTGAACCCAGCAGCTCTGCCCCTCCTCTCCCCTCATCTATCAAGGCAGTCATTTTATCATTTCAGGTGACTGGGTCAGAAAGACACGACTTCCCCAGTGTAAATCCAGGGTGACTACTGCCAGTCACCTTCTCACCCTCAGCATGTTTGAGGCTTTCAGTACTATTTGCACTATCACCTTTGCAGGGCTGAGGGGAGGCTGACCAGCCTGCAGTTCTCTGGGGTCTCCCAAGCTCAGTTTTTTCCTGCCACTGCCAGTTGCTGCATCTACAAAAAGCCCTTTTAAAATTGAAAACAGATGACTGACATTTAACCAGAGCTGGCAAATATCCTTTGACACGCTATTCAAAACATTTTTGTAAAATATATCACAGGATAAAAATGCTTGTAATTTATCCTAAGACGAAGTTTGGGGGAAAACAGAAAATGGTACAAATCCAACTTCAACTTTACAGTACTCTAAGTTTATTACATTCATTACAGGAACATTTATATTACCTAATTAAAGGAGGGTTGAGATTTCACCAGGCCCATTAAAATCTAGCTTGATAAAGTGCTGCAAGATTCCCTATGCAACGCGGTGCAAGGATGTTTAAAAGACCTTCAGTCATCATCTACTCTAACTCTGCCCACCCAAGTTCTTTAAGAGCTGGCCGGGGAAACTTCTGGCTTCATGGACATGATTTTAATCTTTGGAAATTTTAAGAGGCTGGAAGCACGACACTGTTAGAGCAGGGCACTAAGTGGCCTGTGGACTACTTTCTTTGATTCATAGGCAAAAAACCCAGAAAAGTGATAAGGGACTAAACAGATAATTCAAGGCTAGATACATTTAATGCCAAGCAACAGGGCTGTGTGGAAAACAAGTCTGTTTAACAAAAGCATATTTAATTCCTAGAAATTGTTTGGCTGGTAGAGGTAACAGT